AAAGGGAGTCAATGTGGCATTCAAACTCACTTTCCAGATGTCACATGACACATTCTTCCTCAATGTAATACAGCCAAGAGTTGTTAGTGCACTATTCAGTGGATTTATTCACCCCGCAATCTGAAGCCAAACCAACCGTCCAGGTTACTGTGATGTGGTCAGTGCAGCTACAGAGCATTAGTCATACCCTAACATGCTTACTTCACATTCTGCATTTGCCTCATTCCAAATACGCCAAACCAAAGGACCACACAGATATGAATGTGTGTGTTTGCCCAAGTGAGGTAAGGCCAATGGTATGCAGGCAGGAAGGCAGGTGAATCTCAATTATGTACTTCTCCAAAATCAACCTCTGTCTTGCTGATCCTGAGGCCAGGATGGGGAGGATGCTCATAAGATTGAACATTTTAGACATACAAGTTTTTCTATGTCTTGGCGAATAACTGAAGTACTGTAATTATGGTGCAATTACAAGTATGAACTGAACCATCAAGGCAATAGTGAAGTAAATTGTGCCAGTGGAAACCCATTTACAATGGCATTTTCTGTAGTTTCATAGATAATCTTTCTTTGGTTTTACAAAAACAATTTTTCATGCCATATTAGTAGATTAGACAGATGTCTTGACAATACTTTATCATGTTGCTAAACAAGTTGTGCAAGTTCACAGCTAAACCATGAATGTGCATGCTATCTCTTTCATCTGAGAAAATCATCTACTGCAGTGAAAAGGAAACCACCAGTTAAAATCTGAGATATTGCACAAGGTGTTTGTAGAAGTTCCCATGTAATTGGTCTCCTCACACGTTGTACCCATACCAATAGTATGTTAATTTGTGAAAATGTATTGATTTTCATTAGGGATCCATACTTATCATGTAAGTAAGGTGCCAAAGTATATATAAAAGCATGAATAATAAAGCTTGTGTATCAAAAAAAAGTGCAAGAGGATCGCCTGGACCCCCCTGACAGAAGTCAGGGCTAATCCCTTAAATTATATGAAGTGGGCCTTGGCCTGCTGTTAATGCAAACGTGTCCTACGGGCAAAGCAAGTTGATTTTCTCCGCCCTTACTTTAAAAAAAAGAATCAATATCATAGTAGAAAATACATTGATGGGGATGCCCTTGAAGCTCACCTGGTGGAGCAGTTGCCCCATGGCTGGCAGCGGCCCAAGTTTGAAGCTGACCCAGGCCCTTCCCTATATATTCATCAAAAGGCCAACACCTATGTTCTAAATACAAAGATGACAGAGGAAATTACTTCCTGAGTGCACCTGATGCTCAAAGAGGGCATCGTCTACACACCATGCTGAAACATTTAGTGCCAAAAGCCCCTGCTGTTACTGGAGGCAATCCCTTTCCCGTCACAACTGAATTTCACTTAGACACTTGCTATTCACTTCCGACTGTGTCCGTTGACTGCAGTTTATGGCAACAAACTAAATAACCCCTGTCAGTGACAAAGGCTTATTACAATATGAATTACAATTTTTTTTTTAAAAGTGCATTAGCCTATACTTGCAGAATGTTTGGTGGAATGTTGTTGACTCATGTAGAGCTGGTGTGTTAAGAGGGCAGGTGAACTGAACATTCAATGACAGGTTGACAGCACCATCTAGTGGGAAAAATCAAATATAGACGAAAGGGCATTCTCAGCTACCTGCAGAGCCAAAGTACATGGATTTAGATAATTATTTTTAGCATGTCCAAACAGTTAGCTTTGTATAACCTACATAAAAACCTATTGTAGCCTATGGATTTATTTACATGTATTAAGTCATTTAATCAGCAAAGAAGTGTGTGATGTGTGTTGGTAAAGTTGGTACATTGGTATCATCAGGTTTGGGGAGTAACAGATTACATGTAACGGGATTACGGAATCAGGATACAAAAAAAGGCAACCTATTTTTGTAGGTAACTGTAAAAATAGGTTATAAGGTATTCCTTTACAGTTACATTAAAAAAGACTAAAATCGGATTACAGTAAAAAAAAAAAAGGGGGATTACTAGCAGGATTGCAATGTTACAAAAAACAAAAAAAGAGCATATTGTTTGTTGTGAAAGGAAAATATTGTATTTCTTCTTTGCAAGCTGCACTGTTCTGTAGGCTTATCATAAATGTGAATATACGCCAACTTCTTGATACTAAATGTCTTGGTTTCTTCTCTTTTCTGTTTTCTTTCTAAGGTCAAAAAAAAAACATCTTGTTGATATTTCCTTTTATGTGTGTGCATTGCATTTTGATATTGATGTAATCCTAAAGTAACGGAAGTAATCAGATTACATTACTTTTATAGTTTGATACTCAGATTAGGTTTCTGATTACATTTGTTCACAGGTACAGTAATCGTAACGTACATTTCTAAAGCAACTCTCCCAACCCTGATAGTGATACAGTACCAGTTAAAACCGAGGAAGAACAGTAAGTATCTCACACAGATCCATGAGCTCCCAAAAGGCTGCCGCACGCGCACACACACACACGAGCCTCGAGAGTGAATGCACGCATGCGCAATGCCATCTGGCTTCTCGGTGTCTGGGAGATTGCAAGAAGATGATGCGGCTGAGCGGCCGGCACGGACTGAATGCATAATTGGGCTTTCTTAGTCATATATTTTCACTTGCCTTGTCTAGTTTCTTGCCAAATTGCTGTTTCATGTCGAACTGTAACCGGAGCGGCGTAGAAACTGACTAGCAGTGACGGCAGAAGAAGAAGAAAGGAGTTGGGCATCACATTGCACCGGATGTCATTACACGCTCTTAAATATCGAGGACGTAAGTAGCGTTTTTAACCTTTTTTCTCTGTTCTGCGTTGTATTTATTAGGTTCCAGTCATGCCAAATGTTACTCCTGCATTCAAAGTATAAACCGGCTAACTCCCAGTTCTTAGCGTTATTTTTGGGCTTAATTAAGAAGCCTTGCTGGAAAAGAGCCCAGCCCTTTGTCCAAGTCAAATCAATTATTTCTACCTGGGTCGATACTTTTCACAGTTTTGTACTATGTTAGCTAAATTATTCTTGCATTTATTAGCTGTCAGCACCTTTCACCCAGACACCTGTTAAGCCTATGAAACGGATAATTACATTTGAATTAACCTACAAATAAAACACGTGTGAGTAGTTTAAATGGCTATGGGTGAGCCAGACTATTATTAACAAAGTGAAACAATTTATAATGGCAAAATTACAATACTTTTTTTTCAGTTTAAAGTTTAATTCACTATTTTTTTCACATTTGTTCAAGTGTTCTCATAGCACATGCAGGCAGATAACCATCAAACAGGCGTGTGGTTCGTTGGGCATTTGTATTTAGGGTTACATCTAAGCTCGTTGATCAATTGAATTTAAGCCTCTTGAGCGGCCCGAGCGAAACCTGCTGACACATGCGCCCCTGTCTTTTTGTGTGCGCACAAACCGGGTTAACCCTCTCTATCTGATTCCCTTCCGTGGCCCACTCCAACCAAACTAAACCCTGGCTATGGCTATGTTGTTATAAACCATAAAGTGTTGAACAAATAGTCCATTCTGCAGATTAACTGTTCCCACCCTTCCATGTGTAGCCTTACATACTCAGAACTCTCCTGTAAGTGAACACTCATTGGTGGGCAGTAGTCACACTGCAATTCATTATTAAAAGGTCACCTGATCTCACTCATTGGATTAATAATAGATTCATATGGAGAAGCCTGCTCTCAGCTCGAAGTGTTTGTTGCTTAATCACAGTCAATGGGTTCCACATGTCTCTTTTAATATAGAACATATATTGCTAACATGTATTGTGCTTGAATTGTATGTCAAACGTGTCCTGCTAGTGAGCAAGTTACATTAACTATTAGGTCCAACAGAGATGGAGAAACAGGTCAAAAACGAATTACTCGGTATCCTCCAGCCTATTTCCTACAATTATCTCAATATGTTGAGACTTTCCAGCAATCACAGGAATCAATGGAAAGCTCATTAGCATCTTGGGGACGTTAATATTGCCATCCTGTTTCTAATGAAGGCAAGATAATATGTCTATTCTCATCAGTATGTTTGCAACAATGCACAATGAATAAGTGTTGTAGCATATAATATACCACAGCATAATGTACCCCTATTAAAAACTCTTGTTTGTTCATGTTTTAGAGATATTATCGCAGAAGGACTCCACACGCTGAAAAGTCAGTTTGACAAGATGCTGAAAAGTGTGTCTACATATACTTGGCCTGATAAAGGTGCACATGAATAATTGCTAGCTGATCATTGCAGGGATATGTTGCAGCCATTTCCAAGAGTATTTGCAGAGAGTGACACATACTAAAATTGGATAGAGGAGCTCCTCATGCTACTAGTTACACTGATAGGAAACGTATGGCCTGTGATTTAATTTGGGTGGCTCTCACTGACGCTGGGTCTCTCCCCTCTGTCTCTCTCTCTCGCTCGCTTTCTCTTCCTGCCACAGTATAATCAGGACCAACGGCAGAGCCATGGAGGCTGTAACACATTTTGTGAATGACACTGTAGAATTTTACAAATGGGGCCTTACTATATCAGGTAAGATCTTTACAATCACTCAATTGTAATTCAATCAAGATCAGTGTGCCACTTTAGGTTATTCAGGAACGTCTAGCGTTATCATTGTAAGTCTTTAGGGGACGTTTTAGTCACCAGCGTACTTTACAGATAGGGGAATGTACAGGAAAGTACACAGAAGAAATGTGTCTTACTTAATATTACATGTATATAACTAAAAAGCAAACTTAGGCAGGTCAAAGTTGAACCAAGATGTAGCCACAGGTAGTTTGTGCAATATTTTGATGATATCTTATGCAATAAACCTAGTAGTATGCGTTAGTAGTATGCAGTGTGACTAGTGTCAAAAGAATGACAAAATGCTGATGAAGCATGTCATAAATGACCTGGATAGTAGTTAAACTTTTCATTTATCTATTCATCAGAATGCTAACGGTAATCCAAATAGATAGAAATAAAAAACTAAAGGTTGTGTGACATGGTGTAAATGTTAACTGTAGCACATTGGCTTGATACTAAACGCACTACCTATGTGTTAACAACAGCTGTTCTGTTGTTTAATCACCATACCTTACATTTCCCCATAATTCAATTTTTCTCCTGCAGACAAGAGGGTGGGGAGCTGGCCGATGATGTCATCTCCCCTCCCCACTCTGGCCATCAGCTGCCTGTACTTGCTCTTCCTGTGGGCGGGGCCTAGATACATGCAGGACCGCCAGCCCTATATACTCAGGAAGACCCTCATAGTCTACAACTTCAGCATGGTGGTTCTCAACTTCTACATCGCCAAAGAGGTGAAGACACGTAGATGTATTACTCTAGTACATGTGACATATAGCTGGTTTGTCATGATAAAGGGATGACGTGGAAAAAGCGTGATAAGATACTAAGGACTGTTCCCGAAAAGCATTCCCTCAGAAAGACTGTCAATCATGCCAGATATAATTGTTACTGCATATATAAACTCTAGGTCTTATTGGTTAAGAAAGTTAAGTTAGAAGTTCAAAAAGTAACTTGATACACTATACAAACATATTTGTTTATAGAGGGAAGATGTCTAAACTCCAAAATGGCACAGAATGCATGAAAAGGCAAGAAAATACACCAAGGGCGGAGGAGTTAAGTAGTGGGTTTATCCACTGTGATAAACCCACTACTTAACCTAAAGAAACAAGACAATTACTTGCAGTTGAACCGCCTTGAAGTGCCTTCAAATGGTCGAACAGTAAGTCTTATACGGGTGTTCTCTCACAGTAATATCTCAACCAGGCTGTTATGCATCTTGATTACTTGATCACTAGAAAAGTGTCAACAGGAAGTTCACTGCAGAAGTTGTTGCAAGGTTGATATCTTAGGAATTGTCAACCATTTTCTGAGTTTGTGGTTTGTTTCTTCCCACCAGCTCCTAATAGCATCTCGAAGGGCCGGCTATAGCTACCTCTGTCAGCCCGTCAGCTACTCCAATGATGAGAATGAAGTCAGGGTGAGCTTCCTCCAACACACACACACACTTCACCTAAGATAAAAAAGCACCAGACTTATCTCAGGAAAACGTTGACCTGAAGGAGATCAGTGCTTTTAGTTTTGTCTGGGGTTAAAGGAGTACAGAAATAGAGAGGAGTAAAAGTGAGTGTGTGAGTGACTTAGGGTGTGGCCTGCTCTCAGATAGGCAGGAGTAATTGGTCTCACCACCATGACATTCCACCCAAATCTCCACCCTCAGGCCTTTGCTCTTTCATGAGGGCACCACCGCAGCTTACAGATCAGCCATATGTACTATCTGCATGTCAGGCTGACAAAGAGTTAGATAGGAGAACACACTTTGATTTGAGTGACAAATAGTAGAAATATACTATATAAAACAGACTTACTCTTCATGTGATATCTGAAGTATTTGGATGTTCTTTCCCTGATGGCAAAAACAAAGATTTAGTTTCCCATTTAGTTTTTTTTATACCTTGTTCACAAATATACTCATACAAACGCTTGGTGCAGTAGTTATTTTTAGTAATACTTCACTCAACTGCCCTACGTAAGTGGATTCAGGTAAGTGTTTTAGAGGTCTGATTTACTAGGACCTCAAAGCCTCACATTCACCGCAGGGCTGTATTTACTTTGCTCCTTTTTTGTTTTCCATTAGAAAAGGTTGTGGATGGTACCTGGAACCTTTTTTGGTACCATCTAAGCTGTGTTCCACGAGGTCTGAGCCTATACTAGAAGGTGGGGTTAAAACACTTCAGACCACTGATTGGTCAAAAAGAAATGTGAAGGATTTCATAGGACATCCTGCACAAACCACTAATGTTGAAATAGCCAGGCTACTGTCAATAGCAAACACATTTTTTTAGTATTAATTAAACTCATTAATTTAGCTTTGAAGGGATTCAGTGGATGTCCCGTTAAAGAAAACACAGCATAAGAAGCCATATTGAATACTACGCCAATGTCTTCCCACTGTATTTCGCAGTCCATCAAAGATGCTATTGTGTGCAGCGGTGTTAGACTCAAGGATCCTCCTCATCAAGCCGCAATAATGACCTCGGTCCTGTTTTTAACGTCTTCAGATAGCGTCTGCTCTCTGGTGGTACTACATCTCCAAAGGAGTAGAATTCCTGGACACAGTGTTTTTCATCCTGAGGAAGAAGTTCACCCAGGTCAGCTTCCTCCACGTCTACCATCACTGCACCATGTTCATCCTCTGGTGGATCGGCATGAAATGGGTCCCAGGTGGACAATGTGAGTAAAGGGATCTTATGGAGTCTTCAGTTGCACTCGCATTCAGTTTGAACGCTATCACCTTTCAAATCCGCTGAACTCTGATACAAGTTGACGCCTATATATTTTTTTCACAGCATTTTTTGGTGCAACCATCAACTCTTCCATCCACGTCCTCATGTACGGGTACTACGGCCTGGCTGCTCTGGGACCTCATATGCAGAAGTACCTCTGGTGGAAGAAATACCTCACCATTATTCAGATCGTGAGTGTGACTTTAAAGATAACCTGTTTTGTGGGTTGGGGTTATTTCTTTGGTGGTTTTTCCTCCTTCAAAATATGATCTGACTGATTATACTTTTGTCAAAGCATTACAGCTAGATAACATAAAGAACTAGAAAAGACAAATTAGATACACTGAACAATACTGATTTCTGTCCATCAATGATAGTACTGAGAAAGATATGTTCAGTGCATAATAACTAATGTCTTACATTAATCCATGGTTATAGAAATCCTTGTTTTCCAATTACATTCTGCAGGTTTATTGTGTTTTTACCACGATGTGGGCTCTTTTGTGGCCTAATTTTGTTTATACAATTTGTCTGTTGAACAGATCCAGTTCCACGTGACCATCGGCCACGCCGGCTACTCCCTCTACACAGGCTGTCAATTCCCCGCCTGGATGCAGTGGGCTCTGATTGGCTACGCCGTAACCTTCATCATCCTCTTCGCCAACTTCTACTACCACGCGTACCGACGCAAACCCTCCTCGCAGAAGGGAGTCAAGTCCGCGGCGAACGGCACCTCCATGGTAACTAACGGTCATAGCAAAGTGGAGCAAGTGGAAGATAACGGGAAGAGGCAAAAGAAAGGAAGAGCGAAAAGGGAGTAAAGAAGGAAGAGGGCGTGCTCGGCGATTTAAAGAGAGAGGACAGTTGTTGGAAGGGCCAGAGAAGGAGGGAAGGGTTAGGTAAGGAATACACAGAAAGCTTCCTCCTCCCTGCAAATAATGTAGAAGGATGTGATTTGTGACCAACTTGGAAAGCTGAAAGCATAGAAGTGTGTTTGTGTCTATAAGGGGTTTCGAGAAGGAAGAGAGGGGTGATGGTTGTCTCCATAAAAGTTGTTTTTGTTAAAAAGCAAGATGCTGATCACGTATGTTCCGAGCTCTTCTGTCCAACTGTGTTCTGGACCGTCATAGGACCAACATATCAAAAAAGGACCTACAAACTCAGCATCGTTGATCTTATCAACCAAGATTCACCTCCAACTTTTGTACTCTGGATTCCAGTATTGTTTTAACTGAAAGCTTAAATAGTCTTTAATATGCTTATTTATTTTCTAGTGCTCTAAAAGAGTTTTAATTAATTTAATTATTACCAACAAGAGAACATGCATATGTTTATACCAAAGGGTTTTTTTCTGGGTTCGTGGGGAGATATTTGTTTACGAATACTTAGAGTTGAACAAAGTTAGGAAACAATCACAATGAGACATTCTCATAACTGCCATCTATTGTATTTAACTTTACAATTATCTACACCATCCACCAATCATATATGTCATGGACTTTCTCTGCTGTCTCAAGCTGATACAACTGTACGACATGATATTTACATTTTATTTCATGTTCATTGTGATTAAAACCTGGTTTAAAACACTTTGGGACAGTGGCATTGTTAGTTTCTTTGAGTATTTATGCAAATGTATGGGTATCTTTGTTATAATATTTGTATGTGGGTCCTCATCATTTATTTCTGTTTGCTGTGCGATGTAGCCGAGGTGCAAGAATAAGACATTTGAAATTCAGCTCAAAATCGTCTCACTGCCATGTTGGACTGAAGGGAAACTCCTCCTGAAAAGAGCTTTTTTTTTTTTTTTTTTTTTTTTAAAGAAAACAAATGGTAATTTCATTGTCTTATTAAGAATGAAGGCAACACAGCTTCTGGCTGCACATATAACTGAAATAAAGACAATGTCAGCACCCAATAGTTTACGTTTGTGTTTCTTTGAGTTAGTTTAAGTATGTTGTAAATCAGTTACTTTTAGGAAGTCAACGTATAGGATCAAGTTGTCACCCATTAAGGAACCTAATCTGGAGCCGAAGCCCTCCCATCCCCCGTCTTACCATCTCACCTCATTCCTCTACTTCCTTCCTCCCAGGAACTCTTCTAGATGTGTGTGAGAGGCAGAGGTAGGTGGCCTGTCCAGACAGATCCACCCTAATCTTTGGGGGTAAATTGGCTTTAGCTCCAAAAGAGCTTATTTCCACGTCACATGAGTTACCCTTTAAATCAGGTCACTGGAAGGGAAGCCTTTGCTAATCTGCCACCAGGTTGCTCCTGCGACTCTCAAACTGTATGGATTAGTTAACATTTAGCTTTGATACCAAGTCGATATCAGGGGCAGAGCAAAAAGAGGTGCATAATTGAACTAAGTGTGTTTTTTCCTACAAACAACCAAGTGCTTTGCTGTGAGTTTAATATCAGGGTTAATTTAAGGAATTCCAGCAGATTCTTCAAACACACTGTATCCATTTCTTGACTACCCTGTGACAAACACACTCTATCCTTTGCTCTTTCACCGCATTCTGGATCCAGTAATGGCATCTATTAAATGATTCTTCCACTATTTTTTTCCTATACTCCAACATTTTTTTAAATCACAACCATTCTGTTATTCCTGATACCACTGAGGTTTTTTTTTGTAAGCCACTTTTCCCACATCCTTCAAACTACTCTACAGAAGGCTACATGCACTACTTAGCAGCCTTCCTTCTTATCCTAGTACACCACCACCTGTCTCTTTGAACCCATCGCATCAGGGTGGAGGCAGAAAACCCAAGGTGCAAGGGTGTAGATGTGAATGATAAACTGGATGAGGAGTACATGTCCTCCACGGGGACACAGAGGGATCTAAGCCAGGGACTAAGAGGATTGCAGAAGAGCCAAGGCTTTAGTACAGGTCACTATAACCAGCATTTCTTCTGCTAAAGGGGCACACACACACACACACACACACACACACACACACACACACACACACACACACACACACACACACACACACACACACACACACACACACACACACACACACACACACACACACACACACACACACACACACACACACACACCACCACACACACACACACACACACACACACACACACACACACACACACAAAGGTGAATTACAAAGCTTTGGCAACTCTCTTAAGAAGCCTTTTTTTACTTTGTCCATGCCTTGGAAAATGTGCAGCAAATAGACATCTCGTCTGAAGAGTACTGACCAGTGGCGGTTCTAGAACATTTTACATGGGGGGGCAAAGGGGAGGCAAGAGGTCATGCCAGGGTGGCATAGGAGAGCGGACAGTACGTGGTATGTTATACTGTATATAACCTATTTATTGTTAATTCATGCCCTAACACAAGTGTTCTTAATGCACAAGAGAAACAAGGTGTTCAGACAAACAATCGGGTGCCCTTTGAGTCCCCCAAGCTTACCTCAACCATTTTAAATGAAAGGAAACTACAAAATGTATTTTAAAGCAATGAATTAATGGAACAGGTTGTTTTGCATTACAATGTAAAATTAAATATATATTTTGTTTTAAAAAAAATTGGTTGTCTTAGACAGACATATTTGCATGTCCTCACTAAGCATTATTACATATTAATTTAATATTAAACAAATCAAAATGGCCAATTATCCCAAAATGTTGCTGCTAATATAATCACATGCTTGTCAACTTTAACTGATCAAAAATCAATTCTGAAAAAATACTTGAATTATCTATGAAATTGCAATATTGTCCCTCAGTTTGTTTCAACCCCGTCACGCCATACCATTTACCCTCCTATTAAAATAATGGATCAGTCCATGTGTGATCTGCATTGAGGGAATTACATCACAAAAGTGTCAGTTTCTTCTCTTATCTATATTTCAGATTAAGATTGACAAGCTCAACATTTCAACTATGTTGTATGAATTAATAATAGTAAATAATTGTTTATTACAAAAATAAACAATAGTTTTGCAAAATATTACAATTTTGTAATGTCCTTGACTTCCATGTGGTGCCATATCTTAGCTAAACAAGGTCTCATGCCTACTTTTTGTCAAAAACTTCAACCCTGTTACATTTTTTCAAGGAAATTCCTAGTAATTATTTATATTTTGTGCCTGAGGTGGGAAAATGTAAGTAGTCCACTACCAGATGTTATGACCAAACATTTTGGTTTCATTTTTCAAAGATATAAAGACCCAAAAGGCACCCGATTCAGAGAATACCCAGAATTCTGCATACTGTACTTAATTATAATTAAGTACACAAATGACATCACCCATCTCTTCAGAGAGCTACAGGTGACCTGTGCAGCAACACATTTCAACCAATATTAGTCAATACTAAGAGCTGCTAGATGGTGCTGCTGTAATGGAATATGTAAGGAGAATAAGAACATACCATGTGGTCCAGCTGGAGTTTCATCTGCCTCCTGATCCCTGCCTCTGGCCCTCTTTCTGATACTTCATCTTTATTCCTCACATATATTTCTTCTTCTTCACTAATGTCTTCATCTCCTCCTCTTCCTCCTGCTCTGAGCCTCCTGGTCTCTTCATCTCCTCCTCTTCCACCTGCTCTGACCCTCCTGGTCTCTTCAGCTCTCTTTTCCTTTTCCTCTTTCTGTTCGTCCTGATCACTTCTCAGATATGTCTTTTTGTTGTTGTTGAATCACTCCTATACTCTGGCCTGCAAGAGTCTACTTGTGAAAAGCACTGGTACAAATGCTTGTATAACTTTACACGTTAGGGCCATGTAACCTAGCTAATATGTAGCATATCATAAATATAACATCAGAAAGTATTCATCAAGCGCACACATGCAGCTGTGTTTGGATCCAGTTTTTACGGTAAAGGATGTATCCTGGTTTCATTGATCTGGCCTCATGGCTGTGATGTGTAGTTTACGTGGATTTAATAGTAGGCTACCGCGTAGTTTAGCAAAGTGATCGATCTCCCAGCTAACGCTGTCTGCGTAATATTTTGTAACGTAACGCCCCAAACAGCGCCCGTCTGTTAAACGCTATTGATTCAAACGGCAGCGTTTTATTAATATTTAGTTTCAAGCTCTCGTCCTTAGTAAAAAACAAAACTAGTGGAAAGGGAAATGCTCCCAGGGGAAGCTGATCCATCAACACACTCTCACTCCCTAAGCGTCCAATAACGACGTTTGGTCAGTGTCCGTGGCGTCCAGTTGTGACGCTCCTAGGCTCCTTCAGCGTCATAAAGGGACGCAAATAGCTTTCAACTGATTGCAATGTATTCCCATCTGCGGCGGGATTTGACGCTCATGGAAGCACGGCATTCGTTTGTGTCGGCTGCCCTTAAAGGCAATGTGAGCGTCCATTCCCATTGGATAACGGAGAATTGTACACCCGGAAGTAAGTATTCCCCTTACTGTCGATTGATTTTACAGTGATATCTGCACTACTCATCGACTAAAAAACACCAGATTATCCTTGTTAATTACACAACATTGATTGGTTTAAATTGTGTGCAATGCTTTTGTATTTTTCCCCTTCGATTCGGAGAAACAAATATTTTTTCGGAGTAAAGGATGGCAGAAGACACTACACTACCCAGAATCCCCAGCTATCGTTTGGACTACACCATGTGCTCTGTTTGACAAACCCGTTTTTTTCACCATTCATTCCAATGGCTGGCGTCTATGTCATGTGATCTTCAAATTTCTCCCTGCAGAAAAATAAAACATGGCCGAACTTCGTTTTATTCTCGGTGGAAAATGCCTATTTTAAAGTTAGTTTGGCCATTAAAATGCGTTTTGATGTCATTTGATGCGAGAAATATGAGTTGTTATTTCAGATTATGTGTGCAGTGGATGTACATGATCTTTAGTTTGCTAATTATTACGAAGATTACTTCAGGAAATCGCGACGTTTTCATTGTTACCAAGGTGGTTGCTAGGGACGCTGCTATCGATATTATTTCTGTTATGTTGTGTAACTGTTTAATGGTGTTATCTTTATTGCTACCCCCTTCCCCGTCAATGTATAGTGTTGATCCACAGCGCAAACATATTAGTTTAACAAAATCCGCATCTAAAGATACGTTATTTTCCCCTGTGCAATTCCAGTCTCACATCTCACAGCACATCGTCATTAACAAATACCGGAAACAGACCAAAAACATTTTAAAAAAATAAAATAATACTTTATTCCGAGTGTGCTTGATTTTCTCTTTGAAAGTCATCACATAACGGCATTGTAATACACGGTTCGGCTGCATTAAATATTACATATCTGACATATTCTCTATTTATAGAGCCCTGATGAGAAGACTTCTAGACAAACATGAGGAACTGAAAACGTGACGTGGGTCATAAATATATCAGCAATTAAACAACATCTTACATTTATTTTCACACAATACGTCTCCTTGCAGTATCAACACTAATTCGGCTGACTTTTATATTTGATCCAATTGGTAGATAGGCTGTATTTACACCATAAAGGTGCACAGCTGATATAAAGGGACACCTAGTGGTTAAAGCATGTTATTGAATTTCATTATTTTTATTATTAGATATTAATAGGATCCCTATAAAGTATATTCATTACTCGTTATTATTTACTA